GAAGGAGACACTGCAGTTCCCAGCACGGCAATCTCCCCATGAGAGGCAGACAGACACGCCCTACCCTTGCTGCATTACAGTTGCCCAGGACACTGGCTCAGCTCTCACCAGCATGCACCAGTGCACCATTTCAATTAAAAATTATTTCAAAAAATCAACTTTCATACAAACTGTCACAAATACAAACAATGGTCCAAGTGCCCTGGGCAGCAATGGGCCACTTGGCCTCCAGGATGCTATTCCATCTGTCTCAGAACCTGGGCTTCAAGCCCATCAGGGCCCCTGCCTCCTGCACTATGACCCCACAAAGGGCCAGCCCTGGGACACTAACAGCAACTCTCCCGAAGGACAGAAATCTCCAAGCGCCTCTTAATTTTAATTAATAGATCTGCACTATGCAAATAAACGGAGGTGACTGCATGCTGGTTGGCACCCCAGCAGAGAGCCATTCAGAACTGCCTGAAGTATGACAACAGCTCCAAGTTTAGCAGCTCTGTGTCCAGCGGGCTTGGGGCCTGGGCTGCTAGGAGGGGAGGCTGCTCATGGAGGCGATTTGTGCAAAAAAGCCAGATGGCTGCGGTGTTAATAAAGGAGTACCAGCGCACACCCCTCACCTCAGGGACCTCCTAGACAAAGGCACAGAGAGAGCACCAGCTGTTTGACTCCCATTGGCAGGAGCATCTTTTGTGTTAGTAAAGAGTCAAACAGATCTATGGAGCTGTACAAATAACTAACCCTGTGGGGCTCTGGTGGCTCCCAAGGAAGAGTGAGGAGTCCGTGGCCATTGAGGGAGGTGTGTCATCCCTCCTGTAGCAGGCAGAGATCTAACTAGGCACCACAAGGGAGCAATAAGAAACAGACCCAATTCATATCAAATCTAGTGAGTTCCTCTACTCAGAGCTCCCCCAGCCCCTTCCACTTTGCTGGTGCAGCTATTTCCAACAGTTTGGTCAGTGGCTGTTTGGTAACACCCACAAATTTGCAGGCCTCAGGGAAGAAGGCAAGAGCTGTTCTAGAATAAAACCACTGCAATTCTCACATAGTCAGGGTGGGAAGTCACCCCCTAGCTGATGCACTTCTGTAACCACTCAGGGGCTTGTCTACACACAAGGGGTCTGGCGCTTTAGCTGTATTGGTCTAGTTAAAGCAGGACAGTCCTCCCAGGATCGTCCTGTACTGGAAGGGAAATAAGCTATAGTGGTATAAGGCACCTTGATATCGGTCAGACTGTGTCCACACTAGGGGTTGTACTGGTAGAATCATATTAGAGCCCTAATCGACCCAGTTCTACTGGCACAAAGTCTGTATGAAGGCCAGACCTTACTTCTCAACTATTCACATCCCCTCAGGGATCATGCTGGGGTTTGGCTCCCAAAGGAAATCAGACTTGGCAGAGGTGGAGACCGCAGAGGGCCTCGGGCAGGGCCTCCTGTAAGCTCACTGCTCCGGGTGGAAGTGGTGTGTGCAGCTCCTTGGTTAAGGTGGAGCACAGCTTTGCATGTAAAGCAAAAATAGAGCCAGCGTGCCCTCCACAGACCACCAGGACTTACAAAGGACAGAATGAACTTCTGGAGGTAGTTGGGATGCCTAAAGCTCCCCAGGTGGCCAGAACTCCCTGACATCGTAGGAGGCCATATTCAAAAATTGGTATGTTAGGGAGAAGGATCATTGCATGCTGCTGTTTATTAGCAGGGGCTCATGAACACCCCAAAGAACTCCTCTTTCAAAATGGCTGCTGGCTCCTGTTACTCTCCCTGGAAGCAAGACTAAGGCTGAGTCCTTTTTCAAAATAGTCACCATTTCCCATTGGTTCCAGTGAGAATGAAGCCAAGCCACCCTGAGGGAAAGAGAAGGGGACACCTTGGGTACAGCTTGACTTCCCTTCCACTGGAAACAAGAGGGAGACCACTTTGTTCTTCGGGATACCCACTGGCCCCTGCTGAAGGAGACACTTGCAGTGAGGACTGTTACCCCTAACACTGCACACAGGTATACTGACCAGGGAGTGTGTCTGAGGTGTGTGCACACAGGGGAATGCGAGGAATAGCCAGGCTGTGCGTGTGTACAGGGGAATATGGAGGAGCGTGGGGAACTGGTCAGGGTGCTCTGGCTGCTCCAGAGTGGGGTGACCCAAGTGTACAGGTTAATATGGACATAAATAAAAAGTTAAAATAAAATACTGATTTGAAGTTGACCCTTCCTATCTTCTGATCATTAGAAATATCACACAGGAACCTGCTCCTTGGGTTTCTTTTCTTGTTTACCATTCACATATGAAATTTTAATAACTTTAAAGTACATGGAAATTCAAAGACAAAAATCCACGTTCTACTGAAGTTAAGGCTGAGTAAATAGCAGTAACTTATGTAAAAACATTCCAGAATGTTACACCTATCCCAAAACCAAGAATTACTAACCCAGGAAGCTGAAAGTCAAGGTTGAATGTAAAAGCAATCGAAACATGCTTAGAAATGGATCTTTTTCATTTTTAACCTCTCATGGACTTCCTACAAGGCACAGGTAAAGTTGCTTGGGTGCCTTAACTGTGCGTTTCCATTTCTTATGCATTTGGATTACTTTTATATTTAACCAGAACTCTGAATATTCCTGTTAGGAACACTTGGGTGGGGATAATCACTGATGTGTACTAGGCACCTTCACTATCCTCCTACAGGAGAGGCTGAGCCTCCTCTAACCAGAGCCAACCCCTCTAGGCAGCCTCTAGGTCCCTCCTCTGCAGATGGAACATACCCAGGAATCAGCAATGGACAGCACAGAAATCCCTACCACAGGCAGAAGTGGTGGGAGGGGGGAACCAGGCTGCATCTCTCCCCTAAGATCATTTATTAATGGCATGTAATAAACATCCCCCCTCGCCACACCCCCTGCACACCCAGTAACCAGCTGAAGTGCCGGCTTCCCCTCCCAAAGCAAGGGGTCTGTGAAGCCCTGGCAGCCAATGGCAGGCTGGGAGAAGAGGGCTGGGGAGCTCTCTCAGAGGAAGTGCTTTGAAGTGGCTCATGAAGGGCCAGCTGCTGGCACAGCATGAGAGGGAGCAGCCCACTCCGGAGGCAGCGTGTGGAGACTCCCTGATGCGCTGGCCCTTTCGGGGCAGCCTTGGCACTCACAGAGAGATGGCGTGTGAGTAGCCAGACAGCAACAGGGAAAGCAAAGCAAAGAAACCAAACAACAGAACTCAGGGAAATCTCTGGAAGGAAAGAGAATTCTCGTCAAACCTCCAAGCTGTGCCGCACTGCGCCAGGCCTTGGACACCAAGCGGAATGCACAGAGAAGAGAACAGAAGGACATAGGACCCCAGGCCATGACAAACCCTCCCAGGGCAAGCAGCCCAAGGGCCCAGCTACACGAAGTGCTCCAGAGCCTGGGCCACACAACTACTTGAGAGCCACTGGGCTGGACCCCACTATGTGTGCTTGTGTGTGGCCAGAGTGGCAGTCCATCCACATTGGGGCTTCTCCTCTCTCCCCACATGTAGCCTTTCAGAAGAGCTTGACTGCCCCACTGCCCCTTTGGGGGAGAAGGGGAACCCTTGTCCTGGATATGTAAGTTCTGGGCCCTTGCCTCACCACCCCAGTGCAGTGCACACAGATGCGTGCAAGGGACAGAGGAGGTACTCAAGGCCACTGGGACAGAGCTGGGTCTGTATTGCTGGTGTGCATAGAAAGCTGCTTTCTGGGGAAAACCCAAGTATGATTCTAGAGCACATTTCCCATCTTCTCCCACAATCCTGTCGGTCTCCAGCAGCTGCTCTCCTTCCTGCACACTGGGGTCTGTAACAGTGATGCAGGATCATGCTTTCTCAAGCAAATCTGTTCCCAGAGAGGACTGTGATGTCTCAGATTTTGATATCAGGTGGGGACTGCACACAGGACTCCAAAGAAAAGATCCTGCTTTGTCCCTGCCTTGGGGCTGGAGACTCCAAGGTGGGGCTGTGGAACGTAGGCTAGAAGCAGAATAGTTTCTGAACTGGAACTGTTTCGCAGCTTCCCAGGAGGCAGCCATGTGTGCAGGGATCCCAGGGGCAGTAAAGAACGGCTTATTAAAGGGGCTACAGAGCAGGTTTCCATGTGTGCCAGACAACCCAGGAGTAGGGCCATCAGGGGCCAGCATAATGGGAAAGGAGAGGCGTGTGTGTGCATGTGCACACAGAGGTGGCATGCCTGACTGAGGGAGCCACATGGGGTGGAGGCACAATTCCACAGCCAGACGGATTTACATATTTGTACAGGGAGACACAGGAAATTAATGCAGCCAGAGGGCAAAGCTTTCACACACGGTCCCAGTTCCCACAGCAACCAGAACTCTACTAGGTCTGTTCACAATGGGGCTGTGCACACCCATGTACACAAACATGCCCACTGGTGGTGTACATTTCAGTGGGACCTTTGACTAGGTGTCCCCAGCTCAGAGAGACCAAGTGAAAGGTGCTTTTGCTTGCCTTTGCTGCCGTAGGATGAAAGAATGGGATGTTTTGCATTTAAATGTTAAAGAAGGTGAGAGCACTTCTTCCCTGACAGCAGCACTCCCAGGCCTTGGGAGCTGGGACCTGCTGGAGGCTTTGGGTGAATGGGGTGTGAAGTCCATATTTCCCCATCTCCCATACACCCTCAATGGGAGCCTGCTGCACTGGCTTCAGCATGTGAAAGCAGCTGTTCTGAAAGGCTTGGAAACACACCTGGTCCTGCCCTGATTCAAACCCAGATCCTCCCACTGAGGAGCCCAGCCTGGCCCTGGAAAGGGAGGAGCATGTAGCAGGAGCATCCCGAAGGTTCCTCTGAGCAGAGGATGGACGGACAGACAGACAGTATTGCGGGCTGCATGGAGGGCCCACCGTCTCAATCACATGGCACGAGAGGAAGGCTGAAGAAATATGCCGCAGGCCTGGAGAGAATGGACAGGTGCCCCCTCCCACTCTCTCTCTCTCTCTCTCTCTCTGTCCTCTCTCTGTGCCTCTCTGTCAGGTCCGGCTTGCTACATACCTCCTTTCCTACATATTTTCTTGTTGGGCTTTCGGGCGCATTCCTTGGAAATCCGTTTTACTGTAAAATGAATAAAAGACTACAAAATAACAGGAGGCTCCACCGGCTGGAGTGGGCATGCAATTACAACCACACTGCCCACCCTCCCGCCACCCCCTCTTGGGACCGCGGGACGTGGAGCACCGCTGTGGGAGGAAAACTCTGGGGCCAAGTGTACTGGGATGGAAGGAAGTTATGGTGCTGTTCCCTGCAGCTTGGAACCCCCAAGGGAAGAGAAGCAGAGTGGCTGGGGCTCCAGAGCAGCTGTCTTCCCACAAAACTGCTCAGGATATGGCAGGCTGTCCCCCCTCCCATTCTCTTCCATCATAGGCTCTTGTGTTATCGAGAGATTCTTGCAGCTGGCACAGCCCGTGGGATCCCACAACTCCCCCTTGTGGTGAGGCTGCCACGGGCCTGAGGAAAGGGTGCTGCCTTCTGGGCACTGCTACTTACAATTCAGCTGGAATCCCCTATAAGAGAAAAAGATTAGAGAGAGAAGAGGCACCCTGAGGCACTCAGCCTCACCACAAGGGGCTGGGTCCACAGTGCTCCAGCCCCCACCCAACTCCACGCACTTAGCCCCGGCTGGTCCCAGCGAAGCACATATGCTACTGCATTGTGCCGTGCATGCAGACATCTCCCCTGACCTCCAGCAGAGCATGGCACCACAGAGAGGAGCCAGCCCAGCTCTCCTTGGTCCCTTTCCAGTCAAGAGTGGCGGGTGATCCCATCCCAGCAAGAGAGAGAGTGTTCCTCCCAGCCAGCTGCAGCAACCCACGCCCCAGAACTAGCGCAAGAACCTGAGGGTGGGGAGGGTGGCGAGGGAACATAAACCCAAACCAGCTCAAGACGGAGCCTGGCACTCGGCGCCTCGGGAACCCAAACCAGCTCGTCACTCTGTGGACCTGCGGTCAGAGAGTCCCTTTCAGTTTTGGCAACACAAAAGAGGAACCCGTGACAATGCCATGGAGGGGAAGGGAGAGAGCTGTGGGGGGGAGGGGAGAAGAGAGAGCACAAGAGACAGAGAGAGAGGAAAAACAGCTGGAAGGCAGAGGGCAAGCTGAGTGGCCAGAAAAAGCTTTTCCACAGACCGACAGCATGCTGCAGGTTCCACAAGCACATGCTTCAAACACAACATCCAGGTGAGACCAACCAGAGCTGAGAAGGAGCAGAATAACTCTGGGACCCCCCACCCACCCAGAGAGTGCACGTCTCCTCCTGGCACCCTGGGCGGACTCACCATCCTCGGTGGGAATGTAAATGTTGAGGTACAGGCAATCCTCATTGGGATCCTGAATGTACGTGGCAACTATATCCAGATTGGAGGTGAACCAGATGGGCAGCATGATTTCCGGGACTGCACTGTGGATGTTCTGAGGGCAGACTGGTGAGAAGTGGGTAGCATTCCTTATTCCAGACCAGGAGGAGGGTGGCTCAGGGGGCATGAATCTCTTCTCCCCAGTGGGAGGGGCTGCATAAGGCACCCCCAGATATTGATCCACAGGACCCAGAATCTCGCTAGGCAGTGGAACCCGGACCCCTCGTAACTTCCCATAGTGCGTGTTGACAGTCGGGGAGTAGACCTGGCCATCCATCTGTACAATGGCCAAGCTTAGAACCCAGAGCACGAGGCAAAGGTCCCGGCCTGCAGCCAACTCAGGCACTTGGAGAACAGGGGACAAGGACGGGTTTCTCTGAAGTATCAGCCACATTGTCTGCGATGAGCAGCACCACCATCCAAGCCTTAAGCACTCTCCTGAGGGCTCAGAGGAACCCCATCACGGCAGGCTGCTGCTATCTGTCACGCAGAGCCAGACACCAAGGGAGGACAGAAACTGGAACACAAACCCAGAAACGAACTGGAAACAGTGAGCCAGGGAGATTGGGGAGTGTTCCTCTTCAGAGCCCCCAGCCTGCCTGCTGCTGTTCACCGTCAGACAGAGCAGCCCTGACGGGATTGACGGCTCTGTGGAGAGAGGGGGAGAGGAATTAACAGACATGCACTCTCTCACTGGTGAGAACAGCAGCTCTACCTGACTGAGAAAATCTGCAGCACAAAGGGACCTTGGAACCCACCAGCACATCCCCAGCCCCCTGATTCCAGAGCCTGGCAGAGGTGGGGGAGAGATTTTAATACCTCACCGGAATGCTCCTCACCTCCAGCCTTAGAGAGAGAAAAGAGCCCCTGGATAATCCACTGCTGCTGCCTCCCAGTTACCAGCCAGCCCTACAGTCTGGTCATGCTAAGTGGTGCCAGCTGCAGAGGAGGACAAGAGATTCCTGGAGATCTGGGGGAAAAGGGGATCGGAGGCCTTGTAGAGGTGGGGTGTTCAGACTCCAGAGCAGGAGGTATGTGTGTGTGAACTGCAGAAGCATGGGTCCAGCACCCGGCTTGAGACACCCAGAGCAGACAGATGATACTAAGGAAAAGGGGATTCAACCACAAACTGGGGAAGCAGCTTGCACACCAGCTACTGGCTTAAGGCTGGGGCAAGGTTCACAGAGAGACAGCCCATGCTAATGGTATCCCGGGGCTGCAGGGGAAGCGAGAAGGCCTGTGTGTAGGGAAAGGACACCACCAGAGAAGAAAGATGAACCACCTCTTCCCCTCTCCTCGGAGTCCAGGTCTGAGGAGCACACTAGCAAGAACGTGACTAGAGCAAGAGGCTGCCAGACTTCAGGAATAGTCAACAGGCCAAGAGAGCACCTAGTGCTTCGAGCTTGGGATGGGGAATCAGTACTGCTTGGTTCCATACTCAACTCTGCTCCCCATTCCCTTCACAACTTGAGAAAATGACTTGCTTTCCCTTCCTGGAAAGAACAATACAGAGCCGGGTTCTCCTGAGAGCAGCTTGAAACCCTGAGATGAAGTGCATGACCATTGACCAAACTAAGTCAAAGCCCCATGGAGCTTTGCAATGAGGCCAAAGGTGAAATGGAAAAACTGCTTGAAAAGTTTGTTACATATATTGCTGAATGCTGCGGGGCAATTACCAGATAAGGATTGGAACTTTATAAAAGTTTGTGAAGCTGACTCGTCAACAGATATACTGGGAAACCAGCTCTCACAGACAGGACAATTAACCAGGAATGTAAATTGCTTTATTGCTAATTACCAGAAAACTGATGTTGTCAGCTCTCACAAGCAAAATGGTATTGATCAAAACATGGGAAAAAATGGTTACTCACCTTCTCGTAACTGTTGTTCTTCGAGATGTGCTGTTCATGTCCATTTCAATCAGGTGTGTGCGTGTGCACGGCAGCTGGAAGATTTTTCCCCTAGCAGTATCTGTCGGGTTGGCCAGGCGCCCCTTGGAGTGGCGCCATCATGGTGCCCAATATAGAGCCCCACCAACCCGCCACCCCCTCAGTTCCTTCTTGCCAGCTACTCTGACAGAGGGGAAGGAGGGTGGGTATTGGAATGGACATGAACAACACACCTCGAAGAACAACAGTTACGAGAAGGTGAGTAGCTGTTTTTTCTTCTTCGAGAGCTTGTTCATGCCATTCTCCCATCAGGGGACTCCCAAGCCTAAATTCAGGAGGCAGGGTCGGAGTTCAAGTGTCCACTGACTGGAGCACCGCTCTGCCAAACATCGCACAGTCTCTGGCCTGCTGGGTAATTGCATAATGCGTGATGGAAGTATGTATGGAGGACCTCGTTGCCGCTCTGCATATTTCCCAGGTCAGGACTTGCGCCAGGAATGCTGCTGATGAAACTTGCACCCTAGTGGAGTGCGCTGTGAGCAGAGGAGCAGGCACCTCTGCCAGGCTATAGCATTCATGGATGCAGGACATGATCCATGAGGAAATTCGTTGGGAGAAGACTGGAAGACCCTTCATCCTGTCTGCCACGGCCACAAACAATTGAATGGACTTCCTAAACAATTTCTTTCTTTCAATGTAAAAGGCTAGCGCTCTGCGGACATCCAGTGCGTGGAGCCTCTGCTCCCTGCCACTCGAGTGTGGCTTAGGAAAGAACACTGGGAGGAAGATGTCCTGGTTGATGTGAAACTGGGAGACAACCTTCGGGAGAAAAGCTGGATATGGCCTGAGCTGAACCTTGTCCTTATAGATCACAGTGTAAGGGGGCTCTGAAGTCAGGGCCTTGAGCTCAGACACCCTCCTCGCTGAGGTTATCGCCACCAGAAATGCCACCATGACAGGTAGAGTAGGGCACACGTCACCAGCGGTTCAAAGGGCAGACCCATCAATTTGGAAAGGACCAGATTGAGGTCCCAGGTCAGGGTCAGTTGCTGGATGTGCAGATATAGCCTGTTGAGACCTTTCAAGAAACGGCTGACCCTAGGGTTGGAAAACACCAACCGGTCTTCTGAACCTGGATCAGGGGTGGGCAAACTACAGCCCGGGGGCCACATCCAGCCCTCCAGCTTCCGCCAGGGAGTGGGGTCCGGGGCTTGTCCCACTCTGGCGCTCCAGCTGGGGAGTGGGATGAGGGGCTTGCCCTCCTCCATGCGGCTCCCGGAAGCAGTGGGATGTCCCCCCCCGGCTCCTTCACATAGGTGCAGCCAAGGGGCTCCGCATGCTTCCCCCACAGCTCCCCTTGGCTGGGAACCATGGCCAATGGGAGCTGCAGGGGCGGCACCTGAGGACAGGGCAGCACCAAGCTGCCTGGCCACACCTCCGCGTAGGAGCCCAAGGGGGAACATGCTGCTGCTTCTGGGAGCTGCTTGAGGTAAGCGCCGCCTGGAGCCTGAGCCCCTGACCCCTTCCTGAACCCCAACCCCATATCCCAGCCCTGATCCTGCTCCTGCCCTCTGAACCTCTCGGTCCCAGCCCGGAGCACCCTCCTGCACCCCAACCCCTCATCCCCAGCTCCACGCCAGAGCCCGCACTGCAGCTGGAGCCCTCATCTTCCCCCTGCCCCACACCCCAACCCCCTGCCCCAGCCTAGAGCCACCTCCTACTCCCTGAACTCCTCACCTGGCCCTACCCCAGAGCCCTCACCTCCTCCCACACCCCAACCCCCAATTTCGTGAGCATTCATGGCCCTCCATACAATTTCCATACCCAGATGTGGCCCTCAGGCCAAAAAGTTTGCCCACCCCTGGCCTGGATGGAAGGCAGAGATGGTGGCCAAGTGAACCCTTATTAAAGACATGGACAGTCCCTGCTGCTTGAGATAGAGAAGGTAGTCCAGTATGAGTGGTACAGAGGCGAGCATCGGGGACAAGTGATGCTGCGCCAACCAAAATGATAATCTCTTCCACTTGGCAAGGAAGATTGCCCTGCTGGAGGGTTTCCTACTGTCAAAGAGGACTTGTCTAACCAGGTCTGAGCAGGAGAGCTCTGTGGGGTTCATCCATGGAGCTTCCATGCCATGAGGTGCAATGACTCAAGGTTCGAGTGTTGGAGATGCCTGGGATCCTGAATTAGTAAATTTGGGAAGAGTGCCAAGGTAACTGGGGCTTCCACAGACATCTCCAGGAGAGATATGTACCAGTGTTGGCAGGGCCCAATTGGAGCTATCGATATCACTGAAGCCTCTTCCTGCTGTATCTTGAGGAGTACCTTGTGAACAAGAGGGATGCGTGGGAACACGTAGAGATGAGGGCCTCCCCATGGGAGGACAAACGCGTCTGCGATTTAGCCCGGGCTGTGGTTCAGGAAGGAGCAAAACTGTTGGCTCTTCCTGTTGTGTCATGAATAGGTCCATCTGGGGAAAGTCCCACCGTTGGAAGATGGAGTTTGTGATGTCCGGGCATAGGGACAACTCATGGCCATGAAAGGACCTGCTGAGACAATTTGCCACCTCATTCTGTACTCCAGGGAGGTACGATACTTGCAGGAGTATTGAATGAGCTACACAAAGGTCCCACAGCGTGAGGGCTTTGTGGCACAGGGGAGAGGAGCATGCATCCCCGTTTGTAGAATGGGATATAGAACATCGCCGTGGTGTTGTCTGTCATGACTGATATACATCTCCCTGTCAACTGGGCTCAGAAAGTCTAGCATGCCAGACGCACCGCTCTCAGCTCTCTGACACTGGTGTGGAGAGCGAGTTCCACCTGAGACCAGAAGCCTTGTGTCTTGAAGTCTCCAGATGTGCCCAGAGCTGACGCATCCATCACTAGTGAGAGAAATGGTTGAGGACTGCTGAAGGGGATCCCTGCACTCACTACCTGTGTGTCGAGCCACCACTGGAGGGAGTCGAGGACTGGGCAAGGCAGAGTCACGACCCTGTCCAAACTGTCCTGTGCTGACCAATACACCGAGGCTAGCCACAATTGGAGCGGCCGGAGTCTGAGCCTTGCATGTTGCACCACATAGGTACAAGAGGCCATATGTCCTAGAAGCTTCAGGCAATTCTTTGGTGGTGGGAAACTGCCTGAGACTTCAAATGATGTCACCCAGGGCTCGAAACCTTGCTTCCAGGAGGTATGCCCTGGTCTGTGTCAGGTCCAGTACTGCCCCTATGAACTCTGTCTGCTGAACAGGGGACAGAATCGATTTCCCCACGTTCAGGAGAAGACCCAGTTCATTGAAAGACGTTCTTATGAAGTCGACTTGTGGCTCCACTTGTGCCCTGCGGCGGCCCTTGCTCAGCCAGTCGTTGAGCTACGGGAACACCTGTACCTGGCGCCTGTGTAGGAATGCGGCCACGACTGCCAGGCACTTGGTAAACACACAAGGCAGGTACTGCAGACATGCCAAATGGGAGGACTGTGAACTGATAGTGGCTGCTGCTCACCACAAGCCTGAGGTACCTTCTGTGGGACGGTGTAATTGCTATATAAAAGTATCCGTCCTTCAAGTTGAGAGCGGCATAGCAGTCCCCTGGATCCAAGGAAGGGATGATGAAGGCCAAAGAGACTATGTGGAACTTCAGTTTCCTCATTAACTTGTTGAGCTCTCGAGGTCTAGGATGAGCCTGAGGCTGCCTTTGGCTTTCGGTATTAGGAAATATGAACTGCTTCCACAGCCTGCAGCGAAAGAAGCGAGTGC